TTGTAACCTTCAATCCGTCGCATACGCTGGCGCCGCTGGTCGCCGCGGCAATGGCCGCCACACCGGTGGTCACTGCTGCATCGACAGTTGTTTCAAGCAAAGAAAATCAAAATCAACAACAGCAGCAGCAGCATCAGATGAGCCTGCTCACCAGCACTGAACAGCTGCTGTCTGCAGGAGCCGACGGCGAGCTGACCGCCGTGGCCGTGGTCGACCCGAGCACCGGCGCCTCGGTCAGCTTTGCCGATGCGCTGCGGACCCTGGCGAGGAAGCACATCAACGTCAACTCGACGGCGGCTGGAAACACTGCCGCAACGACCACTGTCACCGCTAGTGGTGGCGGTGGACCTGCACTGTAAGTAGAAATTGAGTTTAGTTGAATTGAGAAAGAGAGAAGTACTCAAACTGACAGCTCATTCACTGATTTGCCTGGCTGATTGAGAGAAATAGGGGGCAAACTGTGTTCAAGCACTGGCAGTGTGATTGACTGACTGAAATTACGATGATTGCTAACTGATGATTTGTTGTTTCCTTTCCTATCTTCTTTTTTCAACCTTGCCGTTTCATTGATGGAAATAGCAGCAGCAGCAATCACGTGAACGCCTCTAATCAGCACTCCTTCAATCTGAGCACGTTGGCTTCGGTGGCGGCGGCTGCCGCCGGCCACCACCAACTGCCGAGGCAGTTATCAGCGGCCTTGATAGAGCAGCAGCAGCAGCAGGGAGAAGGGGGTAATACTACCCCGGGAAACAGCCACCACGCATTTGTTCTCTTGCCGGCGACTTCGGAGCAGCAGCAGCAGCAGCACAGCAGACTTCTCAATAGCCAACATCAGCAGCATCAGGTGGCAGTGCCCCTCATCGCCGGACTTGATCAGCACCAGCATCAAAAGTTCTTCCTTGCGACGCCTGAGCACCTGCTTAGTACTGATAATGCCCGGTCGGTTAATGGGCGGTACGTGCTTGACACCTCGGCTGCTTCAGGTGTAGGAGCAGGAGGAGTTGGCGGTGGCAATTTGGCCATCATTCAGTTTGGGGGTCCTGGTGGGCCATCGGCACTTCTTCAGCATCGACCAACGGTCAGACCGCCACCACTACCGCCGACCAGTGCTTCAGCTTTGCATCAAGCCCGTCACCACCATCCGCACCACATTCACGGGACCCAGCTGCTGCACAGTAGTCACCACCACAATAACCGCAATCATCACTCTCCTCAGTCTCATCGTTCCAATGCCCACCAAACAGCACATGGACAATTATTGCCACCTTCTCAACCCAAAGTGCACCAACGCTCACCACGGGAGTCTGCGCACACTTCTTTGACCGGCGGAAAAAAGCGAAACGCCAGTGGAACTCCAATCACCTTTTCAAACTTGCAAACTTGCCAAACTCCTCAGACTCAAACAGCAACATCAGAGAACAATGGAAACGAGCAAAGCAGTGAGGCCATCAGTAAAGAAGAAGAGGAGGAACAAAGTGCTCTTCCGAAAGTGTCCCACTACGACAAGGTCATCAGTCAGGTGAGCATTATGGAGGAGAAGCGACGCAACAGACGACTTGCCCGACAACAACAACAACAACAACAGCAACAACAGCAACAGCAGCAGCAAATGCAACAACAAATTCAGCTCAGTCAACGAAAACGAATTCGACTCGACTCTGACGGAAATGCCGCCACCATCTCCGAGGAGTCCTCTGACGTGGATCCCAATCTGATGATTGACATTGATCTGGAGGACAGCAGTCAGGACAGAGAGATGGATGGACAACGAGGGGAAAGGGAAGAACAAGAGGATCAGGGAAATGAAGCGGATGAAGAAGAGGAGGAGGAGGAGGAGAACGAAATTGTAGACGAAGAAGACCGCTTTGCTGTCAACGCCGATCAGCTGGAAAGCGCCTCCAGCCTGCCGTTGGACTTTGTAGAGAGCATCCTGCGGCCGCTGCCGCTTGATGAGAGTCCCCAGAAGGTGGCCTTTCTCGAGGTGCTCGGCCTGACGACCAAACGAGTGCACCTGGAGCAGAGCTTTCAGAAGTACGTCATTCGGCGGATGGCCCATCGAGTGTCGGCGCTCTCCTTTAAGGTGGAGTTGGCTGAGGAGGAGGCTGTCCTGGAGAAGGAGAATGATCACCTCTGTCTGCTGGACAGCAGTAGCTTGGTGCCCAGTGATGAGCGTCTGCTGACCAATGGTGGTGGACTCCTTGATAAGTCTGAAGCTGATAAGGACGAGGAGGAAGCGGATAAGGATAAGGAGGCGGTGGCCGAAGCAAAGGCCGCCTTTCTGAGCACACTTCAACTAGTGCCAGTGGCTGACAATGAGGAGCTGGTGCTGAAGCGAGAGCTCGGCTGGCTGGCCGTCATTCAGGAGAGGGCACTTTTGAGGCGGAAGTTGGAAAGCGAAGGAGAAGAAGTCGTCGCCCGCCACATGCGACCGGTGTTTAACAATCTGAGCAGCTCGGTGCTCAACGAGTGGCTGCCCAAACTGGCGGAGAAGTGCAAGCTGAAGAAGTGCTCCAGCGGTGGTGATGATGATGACTCTCAAATGATTGGCGGTGAGGTTGACTACCATCAGGTGGGCGTGCAGCCAATGTCTGAAAGGTAATGTTGATGGTTGTCAATTATTTGTGCATATTTTTATTTCATGTTTTTTTCAGATCTCTCTCCTGCCTACAAAAAATTGGTTTTGAAGAGGAAGAAGAGGAAGAAACGGAGGTTAAAATGGAAATTGTTGAAGTGACTGCTGAAGAAGGTGAAGAAGGAGAGGAAGGCGAAGAAGAAGGGCAAAGCAGTATTCAGGAGGAGTTTTCAGATAGTCAAGATGGCAGGGAACAAGAACATCAGCAGCAGCAGCAGCAGCAGCAACTGCAACTTCAATTGCAATTTTCAAACAGTTTGCCGATGTTGACCAACTCTCGATCGGCAAAGTCAAATCGAGGAAAGAACAGAAATGGCACTGTTGCAGCTGCCACCACCACCACTCTTAATGGCGAAGACGGCAGTCACACCTCACTGTTTCAACTTCAACTGCAACAACATCAACCACATTCTTCCCACCTTCTTCCAGTCAACTTTGTAGAGTCAGGTATAAACTTGCAGCATCAACCATCAGCAACAACTGGTCAGCAGCAACTGCAAGTGCTACACCTGCCCACAAACAAGATAATCAACTCAAAACAATTTGCTCAAGGTAAGGGAAAAAATTTAATGTTTTTTAAAAGCCACTTTACTAACTGATTTTCATTTTACACACCTAGAATTCCACGATACTGTACTTCAGGAAACGAGAGAGAAGCAAATGAAAAAGCAAAAGCAGCAGCAGCAGCAGCAGTTGACGGGCGACAAAATTGGAAAGAACGGTTTCCACCAGCATCAACTGCAACAGCTTCATCACCAACAGCAGCAGCAACAGTTGAACGCACAAACCTTCAACCACAGTCATCTCATTACTTTCAACGATTCTCAGTTGAGGCCAGGCACTGAAATTCTTCAGCAACAGCTGCAACTGCAACTGCAACAACAACAACAGCAGCAACCGTCATCAGCAACGGCGCTGAATCACATTGATCAGCGGTCTGCGCCCTCATCGGCGCCTCCCGTTCCCTGCTCTGGTTCAGTCTTTAAGTGTAAGTAAAATGTGATTTGTTTATCTTTTTATGATCGTCTAACATTTTTCCTCTTTTTCCAGTTCCTGAGAAGATTAGCGTTTCGATTAGAAAGGCTCAACAGCGCCTGACGCAGATTCTCCAGGAGACGCAGTATTTTACTGAGAAGAAGAATGTAAGTGTTTGCAGTTTAGTAGTGGATTTTTGTAGCTAACTATTTAAATATTGTTTGCAGGAAATTGAAACCAACTTGAGTCGACTAGAACAAGACCGGTGCAATGTTGAAGCAGAAATAGAACGTCTGTCGTCGCTCTATGACAGTAGTATCGTCTGATCTGATCGTTTAGTGTTTGTAGTGAGCGATAAAGTGAGCAATAGTCTCGCTTTAGCCTTACACTATCACGCACTTCCATGAATCACATTCTCATCATCATCTTCACCTCATTATCATCACAATCACCATCTTCATTGAATTTTGTGTACTTATTTTAGAAACTTTTTTACCGAGATTGTACTATTTTTTTCCTCACACCGTTGCTCTATGATGATTGTACTGACTTCAGGTAGGATTAAGTTCAACCTGAAGATTTTACTTTACTCNATCTTCACCTCATTATCATCACAATCACCATCTTCATTGAATTTTGTGTAATTATTTTTAGAAACTTCTTTACCAAGATTGTACTATTTTTTTCCTTCACACCGTTGCTCTATGATGATTGTACTGACTTCAGGTAAGATTTAAGTTCAACCTGAAGATTTTACTTTACTTTGCACAGACTACTACTTGATGAAACTTTTTTCCACATTTTAAAAATACTCACACAATTATTGGTCGCACAACAAACAAACAATGGGGGAAAAAAATTCAAACTGAGATATTCAGACATTCAGAAATTTTTTGTGCATTTACACCGACACACGCATTGAGCGATTGATGGTGGTTAATTGATTTAGGATCAACTGCTTCTCAGATTGCCCAAACTCTTTGTACATAAATGCTACTCCTTTCCTTTTACTCTTTTTTTGTCAAAATACACACACAAGTTGTTTTCTTGCATAATCCTTTTTACTTCTTCTTCTACTTTCTCAAAGACTTCCAGGGCATACCAACCAGTTATACTGAGTTCTTCATTTATATACCAATTACGATGTACTTAAATTATAGACAACAAAATCCATTGATAATAAAGTGATTTTAAATCTGAAACCCTTTATTTTAAAACTTGTAACTATTTACATGTAAAACTTGCTTTTGGCAGCATCAGTTTTATCGAGTGCACACTCTCAGCTGAATGTCCTTGCTGCTGATCAGCGCCAGTGAGTCAATTTTCAACGGCACCTGAGTCTTTGCAGTTCGCTCAAAGCGGAACTTTCGTGCAATCTGAGCCAGACAGAGCTTCATCTCCTGGTAGGCGAAGCGCATGCCAATACTGTAAGTAAAATTCAGTAAGTCTCAGTAACTTTTAAAAGCTTTTTTTCNAAAATTCAGTAAGTCTCAGTAACTTTTAAATGCTTTTTATAATTTACTTACCAGTTTCGAGGACCTGTTTATAAAAGAAAAGAACAAGTTTAAAACAACTGAAACTACTGATAATCATGTGAAGAAAACNTCCATTGATAATAAAGTGATTTTAAATCTGAAACCCTTTATTTTAAAACTTGTAACTATTTACATGTAAAACTTGCTTTTGGCAGCATCAGTTTTATCGAGTGCACACTCTCAGCTGAATGTCCTTGCTGCTGATCAGCGCCAGTGAGTCAATTTTCAACGGCACCTGAGTCTTTGCAGTTCGCTCAAAGCGGAACTTTCGTGCAATCTGAGCCAGACAGAGCTTCATCTCCTGGTAGGCGAAGCGCATGCCAATACTGTAAGTAAAATTCAGTAAGTCTCAGTAACTTTTAAAAGCTTTTTTTCAATTACTTACCAGTTTCGAGGACCTGTTTATAAAAGAAAAGAACAAATTTATAACAACTGAAACTACTGATAATCATGTGAAGAAAATTTACCAGCGCCAAATGGAAGGTAGGTGTAGGGGATGATGGAGTCCTTGTTCTCGGGCATGAAGCGCTCCGGGTCGAAACGATCCGGATCGGGCCAAAATTTGCTGTATAAAGGGAAAACAAAAATTAGCTTTCAAACTAAAAACAACCAAGTTTTCCAGTAACCGACCTGTTGTGGTGGATGCCGAAGGTGGGAATCTGCACCTCAATGTCCTTCTCCAGCGGAATGCCGGCCAGTTTGTAGTTGTCCACACCGACGCGGCGTTGCAGCCGAGCCACCGGCGGGTTGCGGCGCAGCGTCTCCTTGATGACCGCATCCAAGTAGGGAATCTGATTGCTGTTCACCTTCTCAAAGTACTCCGCCGAGTTGACCTCCAGGCCGTCCAGCGCCTCGGTGAGCTCGTCGTAGAGACGCTCCTGTACTTCGGGGTTCAACGCCAAAAAGTAGGCGGCCATGCTCAGTGTGGTGGCCGTCGTCTCGAAACCGGCGATGAAGAAGATCAGGCATTGGGCGATGATCTCCTTTTCATCCAACGTCCTCTTCACCGAGTTGTTTGGCGCTTGTCCGTTGCCATTGACCGTGATGGTTTCCTTTGCCTCAACTTCGTCTGTGTTTTGATAAGAAAACGTGTTTGTCATTAAATTACAGTTCTTGTACAAACTTTTTGTCAATTCTTACCATGATCAGCCGAGGCGGTCAGCTTCTCGTAGTTGTTGTCCTTCAGGTCGCTTTCGTAGACGTAGGCGTCCATCAGCAGCTGCACCAGGTCGTTTCGCTTGGTGGCCGCTTTGCCACCGCTCTTGTCCGCCTTTCGCTGCTTCACAATCTCCTTGGCGAGGTTGATGAAGAAGTTGAAGATACGGTCGTCAAAGCCGATCGAGTTGTTCATCATCCGGTTAATGGAGTTGGGCAGTACGAAAAAGGACAGTATCCGCCAGACGGCAAAGTCCACCAGGTTGGTGGCGTTCTTCAC